TTCAGACGCTTTGTTTGGAATCATCAACAAATCTTGCAGTAGGACTTTGACTTTGAGAAGTGTGTGTGTGTGTGTGTGTGTGAAAGCACAGTGGCTGATTAGCACATTCAAAAAAAAAAAAAGCTCAGTCATTGGCTCATTCAATTCTTTGTTTTTGTATGTGTGAGTGAATGTTTTTATTCGACAAAATAAAAAAAACCCTGCTCTGTTATAGGCTCATTCAATGATTTGTACATGTGTGTGTGTGTGTGTGCTGGTTTGGGTGGTTTATGAGGGCACAAATTTGTATAATGACATGGGTATGATACAGGTATTACAATATGAAGGTGGTTTATGAGGACACTTCATGTGTCCCTGTAATTCAAAAGGCTTAAAAAAACATACTAAATGGAGGTTTTTTTGAAAATCTAAAAATGCAAATTTCTGTGCACATTCCTCAAGTTTTCTGTGAGGGGTAGGTTTATGTGTAGGGCGATAGAAAATACAGTTTGTACAGTATAAAAACCATTACGCCTATGGAGTAAACCAATACCAACATATGTGTGTGTGTGTGTGTGTGTGGGCCACATTGAGAATGTTGTATAAGCTCACCCCTTCATTTATGTGCTAAATGCTCTGAATTATAGTATTTCGCATTAATTTCCGATGGGTGCCCACTTTTGTCCACGAAGGACAAATTAAGGAGTTTTTTTTTTCAACCACTTAACTTTGTTGAATCGAGTCCATTTTGTGTATGTGTGTGTGTGTTCAGGTGTCAAACTTTGGAAAAGTAGCTGAGTCTTGAAAACTGTTTTTAAAAAAACCAAACGATTTTGCCCACATTTGTCCCGAAGGATGCTTGAGGGTTAATAATAATGATAAACATCTAATAAAAAGTTAATCTATTATCTGTTGTTTTAAATAATTTTCCAAGAAAACTTAACCGAATGTCAAAATATGAAGAAAGAGCAAACAATATAACCTGTTGCATTACACAGTTGCAAATCTGGCAGTTGTATTTTTATGTTCAGTTTTTCATAACCATAAAAAAAACCATTTAGAAAAATGTAACACAAATAAAAGCTATGATGTAAATGAATAAGAAATATATATAAGAAATAAAATTCGGTCGATAATCAAATAAACAGATTTGTGACTGACCATACTAAACATTGTGTCATTCTTGAGATTTCCTTGCTTTCGCGGACGCATGCAAAATGTTCTTTGGATTATTCTTGAATCATACTGGATAACATAGATTGTCAAGTTTTGTGATAGACAGGCAGATAGATATGATGGAGGATAGGGGAATCACGGCTTTGAGAGTAAAAAAAAACATACACAAATTAAACGCTGCAGCTCGTGACGATACATTGATGTGTAAAGACACGAAACGATCGGTCTGTGCAAGAAACTGAACAGTATTTATATCGTTTTTAACCGCCACCTATCTCTCAAATGGACCATTGTCACACCTAATTGAGATTGTAGATAGTGTCAATGGTCCATTTGAGAGATAGGTGGCGGTAATGCACTTATAAGTCTGCGATCCGCCGTAAAGCAAGAAGAAGAAGAAGAAGACGTGTCAGGCGCCGGTTGTTGAGAACGCGCTCAGGACAGTTCGGACATTGCGGTGAATCAGAGGTAAAAAACAATATAAATACTGTTTCTTGCACAGACCGATCGTTTTGTGTCTTTACAAATCAATGTATCGTCACGAGCTGCAGGGTTTAATTTGGTTTTGTTTGTGTATGTTTTTTTTTACTCTCAAAGCCGTGATTCCCATTCAC